TTTCTTATTTTCTCCTGTGCTTTTGTAGCACCTGACTAGTGGAGTCTCTGTGAGGCCTCACATCTGCTGAGGAAAAGCATTGGGAAGACAAAGCCCTATCTGCAATTCTTACACACCTCTGTTAGAGATCATGGTGCCACCACTAGTGTATGCTGCTCTCTCAGCCATAAGCAGGTTGTTGTGTTTCTCCATGCTGTAGACCTCTAAAACAGATGAGAGGCTGTGAGCTCTTTTCCATGAGTCTCCTTCCCTTAGCATGCAGCCCCTGCCGAGCACAAGTCAGGATCTTGCTTCCCAGGTTCAGATGAAGCATTTGGAGTTGCTATTAAATTTCTGTGCTAACATCTGTCTTGCCTCTTTTGTTGGCATTGGGCATGTGACCCTCCCTGACCATGACCCTGCTATGGATGGGGTTGCCTGTGGATTTGATAGCTGAGCCCCCAGTTGGTTGTGTGTTACCCTTCCCAGCTATGGGACTTGCACCGTTTCCATTAGCAAGACCTCAGAGTCAGGTGAGCCCCAGCCACCCATGGGTGGCACACAATTGATTGAGGGCACAGCTACCAGAGCTAAAGAGCAAAACCAACCAGGCACTCCCAAACTGGAGGTGCTACTGGGAGAGAGGGAAGCATTACTGGTTGAGAGTGAAAGCAGCCAGCTGGCCTGTCTGCTGCCTCACCAGAGGAAAGAGGACTATGTATCACTTACAGTTATACTTCAGGGAATGGATACTGTATATTATCTTTATTGGTATTTCTCTTTTCAACAAAAATCTGGCTTATTAAGCAGCTGTTTACAAGTGGGAAAAATTACCTCACTGAGTACCAGAAAGTTTGATTTTCTGAAGTTTCTGTCTGGGAGGTCAAGCTGGTGTTTTATTAATGACCCCTTGACTTTTGAAACCAGCCCTTGTTTCCAATGAAGTCCTAGCCATAGGGTTTACTTACAGGCAAAGTACACACAAAGTCCTATTTCTCTGAGAACAGCAGAAATGAGTGACTTTATGGGTCAGAAATGTCCGGTCCCACCAAATTTGATTTTCTGAAGTCTCTGTCTGGGAGGTCAAGCTGGTGTTTTATTAATGACCCCTTGACTTTTGAAACCAGCCCTTGTTTCCAATGAAGTCCTAGCCATAGGGTTTACTTACAGGCAAAGTACACACAAAGTCCTATTTCTCTGAGAACAGCAGAAATGAGTGACTTTATGGGTCAGAAATGTCCGGTCCCACCACTCTATTGAGGTTTCTGTTCAGGAACTGCTGCCTCTGCTGACGTCGGGGGTTGCCATGCCCATCTCTCGCCATCCCTGGAGAGAGCATCAAGTGCCTGAAACCCCTTTCCTGGCCTGCAGCTGTGGAGGTCCCTCCTTCCCCTACCAGCACCTCCAGTCTAAGGCACCCTGGTCCTTGGGAGCACATGGAAATGGAAATGTCAGGTGATGTGGATCTGTGGAAAACTGCCTGGAAAGAAAAGATCTGGGTCCTAAGGGGAATTAGACAAGTAGGATTACAGTCTGATAAATGCCCCAAATTAGCATTTCTGCAAAAAGCAGTCTTGCTGTATTTATCCTTGCATTGACTCAATTTTCCATGACTCCCTGGTGAGCTAGAGAGGGAACTAATGCAGCTGAAAGCCATTCAGCAGAAGAATCCCAACCCTATGGAAAGAGTGATGTGGGAGTGGAAGCAAGAAGTGGCAGAAGGCAAGTTTGCTCCTGTCAGTGAGAGTGGCACTTTTTGGTAACTTTAAGGGTTCAATAAGCAACATGAGATGAAGGCCAGAGGCACAGGCTATGTTATCTTGAGCTGTGTGGCAGAAACATGCTGATATTCTGCTCTCCTATCCTCATCGCCTGTCATTCTCCAGGTCCTATCCCCTCTATGTCCTGCTGTAATACAGCTTTTTGTGTTCTCACATGGTTGTTTTTGAATCCAGAACTATCCTCCGTGACCCAGAGTCAGCAAAATCAGGGTCTTCTTCAAGCCCGTGGTGCCTCTGACCAAGCAGATGATGGTAACTGGAAATTTCCCCTTCCTCTATAGATCATTTCCCGCATGTCAGCAGTTCCCCATCACTGCCTCTGCCATCCCCGCTCACAGGAGCCACTTGGCTACATTTCGGATGCTGCTCTGGCCTTGTCTACACTTTCATTTTCAGGAGTTATTCAGACTCTTCTTCTGTGGCATTGTCTGGCAGCACCTCGACCCCTCCTCAGCCCTCCTGGGGGAAGTGAGCAGGGAGGGTGCCTGGGAAGGTGGGAGAGAGCAAGAAGCCGGTGAGAGGCAAAGCAGGGGGAGGCTGGAGGGAGCAGCAACCAGTCCTCCCTGCAAGCCCTGTCAGCACCCTTGCTGGAAGCATCACCTCTGTCACCACCTGGCAGAGCAATTCCTGCCAGTGTTAGCCAAGTTTTCATTTTCTCAGGACGGAGGTAGCCTTTCTCTGCCAGGCACTAACTTTCACAAAGCAAGATGAGTGGCAGATGTAAAGTTTGCGTAGACAGTCCCATAGAAAGCATGACTTTGTGCTGAATAGTATCACCAACTTAAAGCATGGAATTACAACCCCCTAATTCTGCTCATTATCATCCTGAGTTAGCATTAACATCATTAGCATAAATTTTTATTTGGAAAAAAACCCAGTATCTAGTATTTTTTGTGATGCTATGGTGCAGGGTATTGTGAATGTGCACATTTTTACAAGAACTAAACAACTTGTGATTTTAACACATACATGAACAAGATTGGTTAAGCTGCATGGTCAGGAGGTACTGTTTGTAAATGTGTGTTTTGTTTTTTGAAAGTCTCCTCAAGTTCAGATACAAAATGCTTTTCATTTATATGCATATTTGCAGGAAGGACTTGCTTAACTTTTTCAGCACATAATCATTCTGTTTGTTAACTTTATTATGACAGAAGAGTTATAATATAGTGTTACAAAGGTATGCAGTGCCTACAGAACACATGCAAGGTATTTTCTTCCACCAACGATGTTGCTATAAGAGGAAACAGAAATGTTGTGCTGTTTTCCATCTTCTCTCCTGCCACAAGGAAAAACTGCTTTGTTTGTGTAGTTTTAAAACAAATCTGGATCAGAGCAGTTTATTGCTTTCTTAATGACACATAATTAACTGGTAGTGAACTACACATTCAAGTTGACTCCTCCCATGTTATGAAAGTCTCCGTAGTTCCCCGACTACTGTTGAATCAGGCTGGTAGTTGTCTTCCTCTTTACCATGATCCTTTTGGGGCAAATACCTTCTCAGACAGTTTTGTCTCAGATCCACACACACTGCAAGCTCTCACATTTCTATCCTTCCAACTTTTGGTGTTATATAGCATTACTCAGATGCTGACCTGAAAATACTCTCTCATGATCGGACCTCCTGAGAGATATAGAGGAGCTTGAAGCAAGAAGGAAGACAGGGAAGAAAGACTATAGAAGAGATGGGATCCTATAAAGTAACAATCTTTGGTGGGACCAAAAGCAACGAGCATAGCAGTAAGATTGTACAGGTACAGCAAGATCAACCAATAGTTATTTGATTGCTGTCTGATGAGCAAGAGATGTTGAAGGTGAAGTAGAAAGGAATGGAAAGATTCAGAAGTATGAAAAGGTGGACTTCAACAGCATCATGAGGAGACACTGTCACTGGAAATTAATCAGCTGATAACCTCTAAATTGTCAAATGATTAAAATATTATTCCACTGACTCTAGATGAAAAAACGTGACGTTATGCAGATAGCAAGAAGAAGAAAGATAAATTAGCCACTCCTGGCTTGGGTTATAGCAGTCAGAGATTTATACTCTTTTTTGGGGATAGGTGTAAAGCAGCTGAGCTACGAAAGCCTGAATATCTTTCACAGAATTATTTTGCTGACTTTTTTCCTCTTTTCAAGTGGAATTCAATTCTGTCTTCAGAGATAGCAACTCACAATGCCTCACTGAGATATAATAAGCTTTTTAGCCACACAAGGTTTATTAGCTTTTTCCATCCCTCCAGTCCAAGCAGTAACATTAAAATGTCTTCTACTAATACTAAATTTATAGAATTGATTTCAAGCTAAAGATACTGTGAGTAATTAGTTATAACCTTCAGAATTGCACAAAATCAACACAGAAGAAAAAAAAAATCATTGTTACCTTGGAGACCTAAAATATTTGACTTTTTAAGAGTAGACAACTGCTGTCTGAATGATCTAAATAAAAAGATCCTCACTGTTAACTTTTTTTTTAAATTGAACAATTCTGTAAATAAAAATACAGGCTTTTGTTTGAAATGACAATCTTCATTTCAGTAACAATGTGTCATTTTTGTTGTTGGAGACATTTTCATAATGTGTGAAAGAGCACAAAACTCTTTTCTGCTGCAGTGGTACCATCTCCAAAAGGTCACTTTGACAAAATCTTTTAAGAAATAAATATCTATTGCTAGTTTGTTTTTAAAGAGTTAGTTTAATTGTTCAATTCATTTAGAAAGTTATACTTGTCTTTACAGTGAAGGAACAGACCTACTCAGGAGGAACAATAGCTTCCCTGATATTTTATGAGAGCTTGTGGGGAATAAATAAGAAACGTATGTGGAAAACTATATAGATCTTTAAATTTCAAAAATCTGTACCTTAGTCCATAAAAAAACTGCTTTTCTACATACTCTGCAAATTCTCTTGAGTCTCCTCCTAGTGCCTTTGACTTCATAAACCTTGATGTAAAAAACAGTAAGACAGAAGAGCCCATGCCCTTTCCTCCCTCTCCTCCAGGTGCATCTGCAACTCACTAGGTAGCACCATGAGGAAATCCCAGAGGTAACCTTCCAGCTTACCAGCTGAGACACCGGAGGCGGTTCGCCCCGTTATTTTGGGGAGCAGGTGTGCAGAGCCCTACGTGAGTATGTTGCGCTGTTTCCAGGGCCCACCCTGACTTGCTGAGGAGGGGGTTTGCCATACTTGTCCAGCACTGTGCTCTGCCAGGTCCAGGTCCACGCATGCTGCAGGAGGTTGACACTAGCAGCAAGACAACCTGCTGCGGAGCATGCCCACGTTTTGCTTGAAGAGGCGGCTTCCGCTCAGCATGAACGACAGCAGGTCCAGACAGCTGAGGGCAGTCAGACTCAAAAAAACTTCATTGTAGCTTTCTAACTGGTGCAAATCACTCACATGCTGTATGTAGTAGGCCCTAAAGAGGTGATAGGGAAGGAAGCAAATTATGATGACGCAGATGAAAATCAAGTTTTTCACCTGGGCCCAGAACTCTTGGTGTGACCAGAGGGAGGTGGAAAGTTTTCTTGCCACTTTTACCAGGATGAAAATCTGCAGGCCCAAAAGGACACAAGTAATGCAGGCGACAACTACAATTATGGCGTAGTTCAGGGCTTTCACACTCTCCTGCTGTAGTTCTTTGTGGAACTTAAAGCATGTTGTATCATTGTATGAGCCTGAGCGTCCATACTCAAAGAACAAGACTGGCACCACAAAGACCATGACGAAGACCCACACGGCAGCGCTTGCTGCAATGGCGTGCAGCTTCCTGTAAAACTCCACTTTGTCCTTCCATTGAAAGAAGATGAGCCACCGGATCACCAGCGTGATCACGTAGAATAGGAAGGTCAGGTACATGTGGATGTGCACCATTGCACTCACCATTTTGCAAAATGGCATCTTGAATACCCACTTCTTGTTGACATAGTAGTGCAGGCGGAAGGGCACTGTGAAGAGGAGGAGGCTGTGCACAACGACCAGATTAATGATGGCTGTAGTGGTCACGGACAGAGTGTTCATCTTGACCAGCACAAACGACATTGTGATGGACCCAATCCCACCTCCAGCAAAGGCAACTGAGTAGGCAGTAATCAGTATTGCACTCATGGTGTTGGTGTGAGTGAAGGCAGAGGAGTCACTGCTGTTCCTGAAGTCTTCCTTGTACATGTTCTAGAAATGAAAGAATATAGAAAGACTTAAGATAATGTAGGAATGAGAGGGCCCACCTGAAAAGCCAGCAGAGCTTTCCACCTGGATCTTGCTCAAGGGATAATCCTGGAATCTCACAAGCTGTAACCAGTAGTTTTATCCAAACATCTTCCAGCCTAGAGAAAAATGGCTGAGAAGGTTGGGCGGAGAAGCTGCCTTAGTCCTTAAGACATTGCTAGCCATACCCTTAAAAACAAGCATGAGTTAGTAATATGTGGGAAGAAGAGATCCTTAGAGAAATGACATGATTGTGGTGGTTTTGAGCTCTCTGTGTTATTAGTTGTCCTCTCTTCTGAGCATCTGCATGCTTTTGCAGTGAAGATCAGAGATATTGTTTGAATTCTGCTACTCATTCATCAGTTTGTTTATTTGCAACACAAGTCCGCCCTTCCCAGAACCAGATAATAACCATATGTTACTCTATCAAAGCTACAAATTTTGTTTGTTACCGAGAGCTGAGTTTTGCACACACTACAGTCAACTCCTTCTTCTCCAAGGACAGTTTATCTGAGTAAAGGATTAAACACCATGGATACCCAGGCTCCAAGGAGGTCCTGCTCAGATCCTGTCAGACCGAGTAGCATGGGCAGTGCTGTCCTGGTGCTCAGGGCCATTTCACATCTAACATGTGGTAACCGGGTGTTACAAAATGGGCTGTTAGATAACGTTAGGAAAGGACATCCTGGGTTAGTGCGAATAAGCCTGCCTGGCCCGAGCTGAGGCTAGATGAAAGTTAATAGCAAGTTTAATAAGTATGCTATACATTTTTAATATATTACTGTTTCAAAGAGAGACTATAATTCTTATAATTCTAAACGTAACTTCTGGTAGGATTTTTAAGTACTACAAGATCGTGTGGGAGGGGAAGAGTTCAGATAGGGTGTTATCCTGAAGCATATTTGCATCTATGAAAATATCAAGAGGCTGTCCACACTACAGTCACAGAAAAGAAGCGGGGAAAATTGAACGGTGCTGGACTCTGTACTACCCCAGTTATACTGCTACTGCTACCTGAACTATAATTTAAAATTGACTCTGGTATGTCTTCCATTTCACCGGTGAATCCCATAACACAAGAGGGGGTTTTCTCCTGAGTGAGTTTTTGCAATTTTTCTTTTAATACTGCAGTGTTGTTAACTTCACAAAGTAGTTCCTCTATCTCTTTGTACAAGTGGTGTTTCAGCTTATTTTCATTTTTAGGTAGCACATACTGCCAGAAGTTGGGAGGGGAAAAAAGTTCTTTAGCAGTTCTCTCTTTTGTGGAAAAGAGGAAATACCTATAACAGTTTCATAAACCGGTTTTGCTCACAGTGGGGAATGAATATCTGTGATGCATCTCAGATATTTTTTGTTGTTTCTTAGCAATATTTCTAAGCATTCACCCCCACAGTAGTCACGATCTCTTTATACATTGAAAAGTCAGTTATTCTCTAGTTATCCCAACGCATCTAAGACTCCAGATAATTTCTTGTAATCAAGATAAATATAACTGCTGTATCTCAAATTGATGTGTTGGTTGTTGGCACTTACTGACCTTTTCTGTTTGAAATTGCATTTCAGAGTTACATGGACAACTAATTCCAGTGCATTATGAGAAGTAAAATGGGTTGCAATGAAAGAGCTTTTTCTCAAAGGTGCTGCTGATTGGCACACTGCAGCTTTTGCATCAGAAACCATGCAAGTTCCTTCCAGTTCTGTTCTCGTTTCTGAGATGTTGCGTTTCAGCCTCACAACCGTGCAAGCCAGAAGGGATTAGCAATAGCTGTTCATCAGTTTCTCCAAGATGTTAAACTTCAGTTCAAAAAGATGTCTCTAAAAAGTGGCATTATCTCACTGTTTTAATTTAAAATGCATATTTAAAGTTTAAAAAGTGCCACAGCCCTAAAGGCAACAAGCTGGAAATGCGGGTTGATGTGAGCAGCCCCAGCATCAAGGCTGTGAGAGGAAGCTTGGAGAGGAAGGACCCCACACGGTCACCCTTCAGAGCCCGGCAGAGAAATTTGAACTGAAGGAAGTAAAGAACAGATAAGCAGAAGTCAGATAACTGGTATTCTCCTCAGACAGTCCTATTAAGGGGACAGCTAGAGACATATTTCTGTCTGCAAATAAGCAACCAAGGCATGGAAATACAGGTTTCTGCAGAACTTTGCAGTCATCACTAAATCCCTTCATTGTAAGATTCTGCAGGAAATCTCATTTTCATTAATCTTCAAAAAAAAAGCTACCGGCAGCTATGATATGAGATTATCAGCTCCTCACTAACACAGGCATCCCACTGAAATATCATTGCATGATGAAAACAGAGTATAGCATGACACAGGGTATGTTTCACAGAGGAAATGCTGCTTTCTAGTGAAATGACGTTTCCTATTGTAATTACATTCACATAGCTATAACCTACTGACCTGAAATACAACTAACAAGTCTTTTGGCCAGAATTTAACAGCAGGCACATGGAATGAGAATGAATGCAGGTCTTACAAGAGACTAATTAATTATATAACATAGGCTATATACTGAACTTAACTGGAAACATGAGCTATAGAAGTCTCCAAGAGCCAGAAAATATCTCACAGAAGAGGATGAACAACAGAAGGGACCACTGAAAGTGGTATCAAGCTATCTAAGAAATGGTCTTCCCCCATGCTGCTTAGCCCCTTGCCAATGTCAGCTGGTGTAAGCTCTTGACAACTGTAACAACATTTCTTCAGTACTGAATCTAGCTTGCTTAAAACTAGCTTTTTAAACTATCTTGCATTTTACAGAGTGGCTGTACCCTGTCCACAGAGTTACAGCTCAGTCTCATCCCTTCTTCCCTCCTCCCCACATACCCCCTGGCCCCAAACAATATCTGAAGCACCAAGGAGCTCCTTCAGGATGGTACTTTGCAGCTTTGCCTCACCCAGGCAGCTTCCCTTCAGGCACACTAACGTTAGCTCTTGACATCTGTAAGAACAGAAGGAGCACAGAGAGGACTTTACACCATTGTGCGTCCAAAGGCAGAGTTTCTCCTCAAGGAGGTGTTCTTGTTTCAGTGCCTTCCTACCCCCTCTAGCTAATGCCAGTTCAGTGATACTGCTCAAGTTTTGGAGCAAGGATTGGTCTTCTGTGTTAAGCCTCTCATCACTTGGCTAAACTTCTGCGGGACATGTGCTTTAAACAGCCATGAGGCAATGATGGGCACTCACTTCATTTGAACGCCATGGCAGTTAAAGAGACATCTGCTGGTGCCAAGGGCTTGGGGACAATTGCCAAAGTAGCTGTGTTTTAGTTTGACAAAGGAGGTAGATTGCCAAGAGGCCAGATGCTGGGTTCTTTCAGAAATATGATCAGCAAAAAGATTCTTGTGCATTCAAGATTCATCAGTTATCAGTGTGGCCAACACATTCATTTCCTGTGACTTTCTGCGCAGCACAGTCCACAGGATTTCCCTGGACGGCTCTCTTGAGGCCAGAGCATGTTATTTATGAAAATGATTTGGTCTCTGTCAAAATCTTCCCAGTAAAATATATATATTTTCCAGTAAAAGAACATTCATTCCAACCTTCAGGAACTTGTTTCTCTTTTATCCTACTGTTAATTATCCTACTGCTTAAAAGAAAAAAAAAGGGTGAACCATATTTCTAGACAGAGTTTGTACAGCCTCAGCTTCCAGGCATGGTATGTACTTCTGGTTTTGCTTTCAGATTTAAAAACCCTTTGTCAAATTTTGGCTTTCCCTATAGATACCTGGAGATAAGTAGAGATAAGACAGAGAAGATACTTATCTTCACTTCATCCCAATCATATTTGTTCAGCCACTGAACTGCCTCCATCAGCACTGTGCTCCTGTTCTTTGGTTCTTAGATTAACAACTTTGCATTTGGCAGTGGTAAAATGCATGTTGCTAGTTTGCAGCTGACTTAGCAATCCGGATCAGTCTGCCACTGGCTTGCCCTCTTCATTGCTTCCTATTTTCCCAGCCAGGTTCATCAGTCACCATTATGTTATATCAACATTATATAAACTTATTAAAAAAAATCTCATCTGTCAAAAATGATGTCACTCTCACAATCTCTGCCCAGCAGGGAGCTCTACTCTCTGTATAACAAGTGTTTGCAAAATTTATCCCACTGTATATGTCTGCTGAGGGACTGGCAGGCTTTACACAGATTTTCATGTGTTCCGGCAGCTGGGTTCTGCAGAAGAAGCATTTGCAGCCTGCATGCACCCAACTGAGAAGTTTCATTTGAATTCGGAGGGGAAAAAAAGTTCAGTTCAAATGAAAGATTTCGATTTTTGACAGACTTAATAAAATGGAAAAATTAGTGTTTGTCAGAACTGACATCTCTGCATTGAACTAGACTAGGTTGGAGGCAGTGCAAAATACAAATATTACTTAACAAGTCTGTTTAAAATGTGCATTTGTTTCACAAACATCCTCATTTAGTCTCAGAGCTGCTTTCTGTTGAGAGCATTGTAATTGCTTTTTGATTTGCTCTAATTCCATGCTGTGTTATGGTAATGTAGGCTATGCCACTAGAGTAATTGCAGCATTGTCTTCATTTCAAAATAACCACACACACCTGAAGTTTGAAATATAAACGTCTGCTTAAAGGAAAACATTAAATATTAAAAATATGAAATATCAAGTGTGTGTTTACATTTAGATATTGACCGTTTTGAAACAACTTTCAGTATTTCCTCTAACTCATTCACTAGCTCATTGACTCATGTCTTGTAGGCTGTGTCATCATTATACTGATCCTTTTTAGTTTAAATCCAGTCTATTGAAGAACAAATGGTATGGAAAAACATGTTGGGTTAGTCCTCTTTTGTTTGAGATTTTAGCTGTTTTTACACAAAAATGGAAACCATGGAACCTTCCTAAAAATAATTATTTACTGTCCTAGCTGTATCTTATCAAAGAGAACAAACTTACCCTTCTGGTCTTTACAGAGATTGGATGATATCAAACA